TCCCTCTCACACACCCACAACACCCTCACATCTCCCCTTCTTTCTTGCACTACCAGGAGCCACACCAATCACTCTCCAGCCAGGGATACTCACGCTGCTGTCACATTATAGGGAGTCTTGTCCACCCACTGCCACTGATCCTTAATCTCTGCTCGCAGACCAATGAAGAAATTCAGTCCTCTTGTACCTTGTTTTATCTGTACAGAGAGGAAAACCTGGAAATGAGGGAGAATGCAATGTCCGTGAGATGCAGGATTGATCAGAGGGAGCCATCATGAGCCCCTATGGGGTAGGGATGGTGGCACACAGAACCCAGTGCAGGACAAGGAGGAGCTCTGAGTCCCCTCCAGGGCCCAGCACTGTGTCTGTGGCTGCTCTGCCCCTCTCTCAGCCCTGTGCATGTACCTGCTCTTCCTCACTGTTGATCACCACCAGCTGGGAGCCCATCCCAGTGCAGTTCTGCTCACTCTCAGCCCAGGACATCTTATCAAGGGACAGAAAATAGCAGCTGTTTTGAAACCTTTTCCAGCCCTTTGGGCAGCACATCCAGCCTTGGCCTGTGTAGGGAAAGAACATAGAAATTAATGCAATGAATGCTAGCAACAAGAGACATTGTGATTTCAAAGATCCAAGTTCTCCAGGGACAGTGCTCATGTTCTCTTAAGTCACTTCTCCTGACAGAAAGTGCTTGAAAAACAAGGAGAGTGCAGACACATTTTTCCTATTGCTTGAGGGATGACCAGTCAGGTTTGTAAATACAACTGGTAATTCTTGCAAGATCTCAGGTCTTGACTAAGTTATTTTGGTGATCTGAATTGTCTACTCCCTGTACAGTCTCCTTTAGGCCTTTAGCCCCAGGAAACAGGGGATATTGCTTCTTTCCCTGACTGGAGCTGCCCTTTTATTACTGCTCCATTGTTAACCTCCCCTGGGCCACTCTCTGCTGTCCCCTTTGTCTGGTCAGAGTTCACAGCCACGCTGCCCTCCAGGACATCATTAACACGGCCCTCTCCTCCCCCTAAGCTCTTAGCAGGAAACCCTTTTTCTCTCTGCTTCCCTCCTCTGCAGTCTGCCTCTCCCCAGTCTGCTCCTGCTGCCACTTGCTGTCAGAGCAGATCTCAGCATTCATTGTCGCCATCCCAAAGACCTCCTGTACCCCTGCCAGCCCTACTGACCTTTGTTTTCTGACACCGCTGAGTCGCACTCCCACGCCGTGAATTTCTCCTGCAGGGCTGTGGGCTGCTTGCTGCTGTGGGAGAAGGGAACCACTGGAAAGGGAGAGGAAAGGTGGCAGCATTACCCCTTCCTCCTGGCTCCTCACACA